GTTCTACTATTAGAAGCCAGTTTCATGGAATGGATGCCACCATGACTGAACTGGGGATCATAAGTTGTTGAAGAGGTTTCTGAGTATGGAATCTAAGGCAGAGATTTCCTAGAGGCAGTAAACAAACAAAATGGCCTGTCAATACTCAAAATGAGAGACAGGCTAAGGGTCAGGCCATCACAAACAGGCATACAGTAGAAATGGGATAATGATAATCGGGCAAAGGTCAAAACAAATAGCCAAATCACCAGAGAACAAAATCATCACATGTACAGTGCTGGAGCAGAGGCTGTTTGTCCAGGTTATTTATGGCAGTGTGGGTGATTATGAACAGGTGAGGCTACAGTTTTGTAGCAGCATGTTGCCTTTATCTTCTCACATGCCACAGAGTTGTTTTACTCTTCTGGACACTTTCGTATACTCCAGTTAAAATGCTGACATTCTGTGTGGGGCTTTATCGTTTCAACAGAAAATAGAATGATTCAATATTAATAATTAGTCCATATATTGTATTGCAATATGTACAAACCCTGTCGAAAATATTCATTCATTCATTCATTCATTCATTCAACTTCATTAACTGCTTTATCCTGGTCAAAGTCATGGGCCCAAGCCTAGCCCAGGAACACCAGGGATGAATGGGTTGTTGAAAATATTAATTTCTTTCTGTAGAAAATAATGACATTCATTCAAAATATGATAATTGCTATAATGCTACTCACTCTTACATTCATCTGCTTTAAATCAAACAAGACATAGTAGAGCACATCCTCAAAAAAAGAAATGTCATGATGTGCACTTATCCGCCTTCAAGATAAATGCTCCATAGTCATAATTTAAAAAAAAAACAAAAACAGCAAAGTGTGATTAAAAAATATAAAATGTCAAAATAATTAAACTATAAATCATGTATTTATAAACTAACAAATTAATTGGACAACTTCTTAACTTCATAAAACATCATAAAACTTTTACATGCGCATTTTGCAGTGTATAGCTTGATTTGACCCACCATCCCTCAAGATACAAGGAAGACATGTGTCAAGACTATTTAAAAAAAAATGTTGAGTGTTTTCTATCATGTTGAACTAATTTCCTACAATAGGGTTTTGGCTTGATCATATTCTTTTTCCCTGACCTAATGAACAAGCATGAGGATATTCTCTAAGTCACTCTGGATAATAGTGCCTGCTAAATGCTGTAAATGTGTAAATGTAATAAAATTTGACTTTTGTGCAAAACTATGCCCTATTCACTATATTGTGCAATATTCTGCAATATGGTTGTGCACGGTTATGCAATGGAATGAGACTGCTGTGACAGAACGAGATGATGAAAAAGCTTGTAGTGTAATGTAATGAATCATTAACTTCAGTCAAATGTATTTCCTATAATAGTGTTCTATGGAGTGCTCTTGATTTTCCAATATAGGGATTAGTGAGCAGGCCAGCATTTCAAACCCAGCATGCCTATGGAAGCAAATTTGTCAAGCATAAATATACATGCATAGTGGAGTATTAGCGTACGCATTAAACTATTAGTTAAACTAAAAGTGCAATTTAAAAAGTTACTTTTTATAAAAAGCAGCAACTTTATCTAAACTATCTTACTATATTTAATGATCTTCATTCTTAACAGAATATAGGACAAATGACTCAAAAAAGGTATTGGTTGTTATGAGGACCAAATTGTTTTGCAAAAACATATTGCTGGGAAGCTTCTTTTGATCATTATTAGACTTGCCTCCTGACTGAAATGTGAAACGTTCTGGTCTGCTTGTCATGAGCCACAAAACCAGCCTTTCCACACCTTTGTAATTCTTCGGCAGTTAAAATTGTATTACTGTGTAAGAAGATTTCTTTCATCTTCTCTAATTTTCCTTTCCTTAGTAGCATCTGTTTTCTCAGCGAGCAAGATTGTTGACCACCTTTTTATCTGTTTCTATGTTTCTATACACCACAGGACTGATGGCTTGGATATGCACAATTTCCTTGTTTATTGTTTTTCAGATCTCAGGCTTATTCTTTGATAGACAAAGCTATTTGATTGAACATGCTACAAATGAAAGGCCGTGCAGGCTGAGCACTCACACATACATCCATCTTTTGGCTACACAGCAGATCATTGGTCTGCATATTTGATTTGGCACAGTTTTTACACCGGATACCCTTCCTGACGCAACTCTCCCTGATTTTTTTTTTTATCCGGGCTTGGGACCAACACTGGGATTGCACTGTTTTTATGCCTTCCCTGGCCGGGAATCGAACAGGGGCCACTAGTCCTCCAGGGACTCCACCCATGAAGCCCCCTGTCAGATAAGATGGTGATTTTTTTAATCCACTAGAGGACAGCAGAGAGCTGGAAAATGGTGCTAAACTATGAACTGCTATTTTAATCTAAAAAGGCCATACAATTTACTGAGGAAACACCATGCAATGAGTGAGTGAGTAAAAGAGTGAGTGAGTGGGAGAGTGAGAGATTGGGGAGGTGAATGAGTGAGTGGGAGGGTGAATGTGTGTGTGAGTGTGTGAGTGAGTGAGTGAGTGAGAGAATGGGAGAGTGGGAGAGTGAGTGAGTAAGTGAGTGAGTGGGAGGGTAAATGTGTGAGTGAGTGAGTGGGAGGTTGAGTGAGTGACTAAGTGAATGAGTGGGAGGGTGAGTGAGTGAATGGGTGAGTGAGTGAGTGAGTGAGTGAGTGGGATGGTGAATGTGTGAGTGAATGAGTGGGAGGTTGAGTGAGTGACTGAGTGAATGAGTGGGAGGTTGAGTGAGTGAGTGAGTGAATGAGTGGGAGGTTGAGTGAGTGACTGAGTGAATGAGTGGGAGGTTGAGTGAGTGACTGAGTGAATGAGTGGGAGGTTGAGTGAGTGAATGGGAGGTTGAGTGAGTGAGTAAATAAAAAAGACATTTTAGCACATTTGTGTCTTTGATAAGCATAATCCTTAAATATACAGTATCATATATCTTTCCATATTGACATTTCTATCTGCTTACTGAAACCAAAAAAGGCTTTAGCAAAACACATACTGTAGGTCTCATTTAAACTACTACATCTAGTGAATATACAGTAGTATATAATGTACTAGTATTTACTGTTTACAGAACAAAAGGTCATTGAAAGGTCAGCATTTCTTATTACATATTCAGTGCAATGGGCCAACGTACATTTTCTTAATCAAAATTATACGACAGCTTCTTGGAGAAATTGTGGCACAAAATTAGGTAATAAACCTTTTTTTTTTTTTTTATTAAATACAAGATTATACAAGAGCGCTGAACCACCGCTTTGCATAGATTCTAAAAATGTCATTGACTTTGCTCTCTTTACTTTCTTCTCAAATATGCCCCAATTCTGATATTTACAGAGCCTAGCAGACACATACAGTATATGTATATACATACATACAGGACTCGCAGAAGTCTATAGCAAGTTCTGTAAAGCAAAGATGCCTTCAAAGTAATGAAATGAAATAGCTGTAGATATAACAAATGTATATGAACATTAATAAACAAAATCAAATTTTTGGTATTACCACCCTTTGCCTTTATAAGGAAATCAGCTGGTAAAGATTTCCCAGGCATCTTAGAGAACCTGCTACTTCTTTGTATTTTTGTCTGAAAAGTGATCGATTACTTAACGTTATTTTCTTTGACAAAATAATATAAATATCTAAGCCTATCTAGCAAATATGTTTCAGCAGGAAGGTTGCTGGTATGGCATTTAAGACTATCACAACTCTTTGTATTCTCCCAATATTCTCTTGTACTGCATCGGCAATAATTTTTAGACGCACACTCACTTAGTCACTCTCTAATACCATCCTTCCCTCTTTGTGTTCTGATGTCTGGAATTGATTTCCTCCCTCATAAATCTGGCACGAAAACTTCATCACTCAAAAGCATAGTGACATGACCTAGCTAAACAATTAAAAAAAAACTATATCTATATTTAAGGTATTAAACACGAGCCCCCCAAATACAGCACTGTATTCTGTTTCCCCTTCATATCTGGCTCAGTCTGTTGGACTTTAGAGTAAATAAGGTATCAGAAGCATTCCACAAGCTATGATCTCTCTACCCACAGTGGTGATAAATTGAATAATTGCTCATTTCATCTCATCCGCAGAGTATGATTTGGATTGTGATTATGGTGACTGGGCAGGCAACTGCATTAAACTGAACTAATTGTCTCTTCCTGGATAATTCTGCACACGGGATTTAGCTGGAAATACCTATTCACTGCTGCTATGATGGGATGTACCTGATTGGTAATGATGTTCGGATATCCTTCAGCATTCTGCTGTCACTCTATTTTTACCATGGTTCCCATTATGTACCCCACCATTACATCATCATCCTACAATGCTGACACACAGCATGGTGCAGGCATAGACTCATGTTTTTCTCTCACTCAACTCATCTTCAACATGAAATCCAAAGGATATCCATGACCCCATTGCTTTTGTTCCTGAGGTACATTATAGGAATTTTTTCCTATGTTTTCAGCATTGGGTTTTTAGTAACGTGACATGCAATTTCAAGACATGCAATTGACATGGACATACACATGTTGGTATACAATTCGTGTTGTTTTTTTTCAGCACTTTTATTTATGAGTTATTTTCAACCACTGCCCTGTAATGCGAGAGATGTTTTTTGAGCGGTTGAACATCCTACATACACAGTGGGTAGGCTACTGCTGAGAGGGAATCTGCTGGGCTTGAAAAACACAGCAGGGTGTCAATTCTGAACATGTTCAAACCAGCACACCTGGAGGCTCCAGTCAATCCTTCTTCAAAAGCACTTGAATGCATTCAATCAAGTTGTCTGAATTTCCAAATATCCTTCTTTCAGCATAGCAGTTTATATGCTACAAGGTTGAGTTAAAGCCAGATGAATGTTGTAATGCATGATTGTGATGAGACATCTAGTCCTAACGGCATGCTACACTTACAATCTAATCATTAAAGGAGAAAGAGTTTGCTGTAGGTCAGAAGGGGTCCCTGGATAACTAGTGGTTAGGCCTTGGTGTTCTCACCATCGAGACCCGGGTTCGATTCCTGGCCAGGGAAGCACACGACAGTGCACTCCCAGTGCCGGTCCCAAGCCCAGATAAAAAATGGGGAGGGTTGTGTCAGGAAGGGCATCCAGTGTAAAAACTGCCAAATCAAATATGCAGATGATCCACTGTGGTGACCCCTAACAGGAGCAGCCAAAAGAAGAACAAGTTTACTGTAGTTGAGATGACAACAAACTGTATTGTAACAAAATGTAGCTGAAGCCTTACCAGTCAAAAAATCTGAGTTCTACTTCCTTTGTTCCGGATTGGTAGGGCAGCTATCTTTGGAAGTAGCGGAGTTTTCCTATTTGCGTGCTTCTATTTTCTTTTATCAAAGGCCCCCTGCCACATCACACTTGTCCTCTTTCCTGTTTTCGACTTATCAAGGACTGGAGGAAGTGGATTCAAAGTCACAGGTAGGCTAATCATCTGATTTTCACTAATTTTATTGCTGTTCAAATCTAAACCATCACAGATTATGTTGAGGCGCACCATAAGTGATGGTAGTGCTAATATTTGACTTATTACTAATTTTGCTACAATTGAACAAGACATGTGGCCTACTGTTTACGCTGGTGTATAGACGCAGAGTTTAGAGCTTGTGTGAATTGTTGAAACTTCATGGTGAATTAATCTGCAGTTGGTGCTATCCACCGTGTCCAGCTTGGCATACGACCCAATGAAATATGCAAACAGAAATGGTTTTCACTTAAAACAGCTTTTAGGCATATTACATGGACACAGGACAAAGTGTCTGCAGTGGGGACCAAAGTTTGAACATTATGGCTGAACCCAGCATTCCTACCTAGGATGTTGAGTATGTAGCATATGTGTCCTGGCTAGCTCTATCTCCATCTCCAGCACCATCCATCATGTGCAAGTGACTGACAGCTAGTGAGTTACTGATTAACTGTTTGGGAAAAAAGGCTTTGCTGTCTTCATACATGTTTACCCATTGCGTATAGGAAACGATTGTCCAAGTATACTTGTATACAGTTCATGAGGTGCCATCTTCCTTTAAGTATGGCTACCTCCTGGGTGGCACTAAGAGGAATGTCACTTATGGACATTAGAGAAACACTGACATGGAATTCACCATCTACTGTGAATCTTTTCTCACAACTGAATCTTTTTTTTCACACCACTGAGAACAGTGATTCGAATGATCCTCACCCTCGGTAGAATACAACATTAAGACTTTGAGTGATCCTTATCCTCCAGAGATACAGTAACAGCACCTTGAATGACTTTCATTCTAAGCACAGAGTATCAGTATCAGAATGTTGAGAGACCTTTATCCTCATTTAGCCTAATATACAGTATCAACTCCATGAGTGATTCTCATTCTCAAGGAGGATGCAGTAACAGTAGCAGTAGAGGAGCTGTTCATGAAGCTGCTAAGTGTAGTTATCGTATGTAGGGCTAAATACACTGTATATTTCAGAAATATCTGTACAAACAATAGAGCGAGGCACTAAACAGCAATGAGAGTGTCACATATGTGTTTATGCCATGTGAGTTAGTTGCAATGGAGCTGTACAAGACATTGTAGGAAATATGACTGGATTTGTTTCAGGAAGTCCTTTTAAAATGGGTAACTGATTACATATTAACTGAGAAAAATATCAAGACCTTGTTACCTGGACTTCCCAGCATGAGTCACAATTTAAGCACTGGCAATAAGTAAAAGGAAGTGTGGGGCACAACACTGAAAGTGCTTATTCACAACAGTCACAACAGCATGTAGTTGGAGAATAAGGATTAAAAGGAGAATGTGAAAGTGAGAGCAAGTGAGAGAAGTTTCTGGGAACACTTGAACTCGAAGAAAATTGACTAAATACAGGTAAGGGCTCCCACATTTCAAGACTAAAAGCACTGAGAAAATACTGCCTTTGTAATTTATGAGTAATTTAGATTATTTAGTCTATAAAAACATACATGTTTATATCAGTATTGATATTAATCCATATATTTAACATTTATAACCAGTCAAAATTTTAGACACACCTGCACATAGAAGAGTTTTCTTTTTGTTGTTTACTATTTTCTACTATTTTTAAAAGTAATAATGAAGACATTAACACTATGGAATGAGGCATATGGTGTTATTGAGTGGCCAAGAAATTCCTGAAGAAACTTTGCACACTCTTGATATTTTCTCAAGCAGCTTCACAAGGGAGCTTCGCCCAGGAGGCAATTTGGCAGTTTGTTCTAAATGTAAACTACATGTTGTAAAAACTACATAAAATAGACTTGATTCATAAATGTATTTATACTTGGGCATTTACATCACTATTTACATTTGTCAACTATAAGCTTTTATCGAAACGTTTTTAGACAATGAAAAATATATATTCATATCTGATGTGTCCAAACGTTTGACTGGTAGTATAATTCAACAAATTGTAAGTAATTCTTGTCAAGATGTGGTTAAAGGATAGCATGAGTGTAAAGGAAAAGGATTAAGACTGAATCAGTTTTCAAAAGTTTTTTGTTTCTTCATTATATTTAATCCATAATGCAATATCACTGTTATTATCTTGTGTCATGACTGTTCAATATCTCAGTGCCATCTCAGTGTATAAAGATTTCACCTGGTGCTAAAATAATAGTAAATGAACCTTATACAAGTTCAATTTGTTCAATCTGCATTTTAGGTATCTGTGGGACAAATTAAGCTGACGATGGAAGTGTATGACAATGAGTCTGGTGTCTGTTTGTCTGTTGATTTATCTATAAAGCATTACTACCTTCCTGCCATGTATGGGATTATATTTGTGGTTGGATTTATTGGAAATCTCATGGCCATCATTACCTACGTGGTCAAGCTGAGGCCTTGGAAGAGTGGGAGCATCATTATGGTGAATCTGGCAGTAGCTGACTTGCTGTACACTCTCAGCTTACCTTTCCTGGTTAATTTCTACATCACCAGGAACTGGATGCTGGGAGAGTTTATGTGTCGCCTCCTCCGCTTCTGCTTCCACTTTAACCTGTACGGCAGCATCCTCTTCCTTACTTGTCTCAGTGTCTTCCGTTATGTGGTGGTGGTGCACCCACTTCGAGCAGCTCAGGTCCAAAGGGCATGCTGGGGTGTCTCTGCCTGCTTGGCCATTTGGGCTATCTCCTTGCTGGAGATTGGCCCAATGCTCACCATGATCACAACCCAGAAAGATGGTAACACAACAGACTGTTTGGACTTTGCCAGCAATGACCCAGAGACGGTGTGGTGGTATGGCTGGCTATTGAGCGTGCTGGGCTACTTGCTGCCTCTGGTTGTGGTGTGTTGGTGTTACACATGTATCAGGGGTGCACTGGGCAAAAGCCTCTCAGCATCTAGGCCCAGCCGAGTGCGAGCCCACAGACTCACAGTGATGATCTTGACTGTGTTTGTCATGTGTTTCCTGCCCTATCACATACTGAGGGTGCTGAGAGTGGACAGTCTGAGGAGCAATGTGACATCCTGTTTGCAAAAGAAAATCATCAATGATGTCTACACACTGTCACGGCCCTTGACAGGCCTTAACACCTTCTTCAATCTGGCACTCTTCACCTTGGCCGGAGACAAGTTCCAGCAGGCTTTCTACAGCCTGATATCCAGAAGGAAACCTACCATCAGCAAGGTGACTATGATCTGCTGAAGATCTGAGAATAGGCCTCTGTGGACTCTTCATTTTACTTAATCTACAATACATATAGACAGTATATCTCTGTATAGACAGAGAACTGCCTTTTACATCACTTGAGTTCAAACTGAAGCTGTGTGAAAGCAAGAAGCATTCTGGCAGAAAAGGTTACTGTTACTATATTACAAAAGAGTTAAGCTAAATTTGAGCTCGTATGTCAAAGATTCAAAATGCACTGTTAGGGTAATTACCGTGGACAATAATTACAAAACATTCGTAATGAGAAAAAAAACAACAACCTTATAATAGAAATTTAAGAGCCGTTGTTGGGGCAGTTGTTAAACATTTAGGTAAAACACATATTGTATCAGCACTAAATGTTCATAAAATCAAGCATAGAATACATGAAACTCAAACACTTCTATCATGGAATGTAATTTGCTAACTTGTGCTAAGTGTGTTAAGTAAAAAAGGAAGTCATTTTCAGGGAATGGGGAGTGAATAAGGTTTTTTCCTGTTTTATTCAATTAGTAAGAACCTTTTGTCTTTTCTTTGTTTAGTTCAGTTTAATAATTATTAAAAACTCAGATCAACAATAAGACTAAATAAACACCAGATGATTTAAATCACTGGTAATATCACATACTGCAGGTCTATATATCTATTTCTTAACTGTCCTGATAATTTAACACAATGAGAGCATATATAATGATAATTAAATTTGCCCAAGTACAGGGCCCTGTAGTATAGCCTACATAATATCATGCTTTCTAGAGATATATTCATCTAAAGTAGCTAAATATATATTTTTTTCTCCACTAAATAATGTAGGGCAATTACCAGTGCGGTGTTTGTTTGCTTTTTTTTTTACTGGGTTTTTCACTGGAAACACCTTTTTACAGCATATCCTGTTTTGAATTTTAATTTAAAAAAAAAAAACAATTAAATTCTGTGCATGAGTTTAAATTGTTTCATTTCCTTTAAGCTTCCACATTTAAAATGGCATTTTCCTTCAAAAGGGTTGACTGCGGGAATAAGCAGCTCAAATGAGCAGGTATTTCCACTGAATTCTTCACAGCAGATGAATCACACCACCTGATGAGCTAAAACTCATTGGCTATCCATTTGCCATGCTTATTTAGTGCAGTGTGTCACTGCTAGTACAGTTTTCTGCAGGCGTCTCTGGCACTCAATTCAAATCAATTTGCGTTAGCCATAGCCAATTTCCTTGTTTTTTCAGCTTACTACCACACACTAAAGGTGGGATCACATTGACTTGATCGACTCTGTTCCCATTTTGATATTAGAACACTGAAAACTACTTCATGCTGCTTCACTGGCAGGGTAAGAGATTTCTTTCCAATTTGAGACATGACAATAAGCCTTTGGG